TGGCGTAGCTGACCAAATGGAAACCAACCAGCGATTACCTGTTAAATCAATTTTCATTAATACTATTCGACATTGCTGAACAATTCAATTTATACCTGTATGTCTATCTTTCCAGTATTTACGGTGCTTTGAGCAACACCCAAAAATAATATTCACGAAGATGATGGAACCGACAACAACAGTACATATAGCAATGGTCACATAAAAGGGGGAAAAATTGCCATATATGTGTCCCGTGAAATAGGGATTCTTCTCGTAAGCCGTACGTTCTTCAATAGTTGACATGATCAGTGCGCTGCAGTAGGCACAGACTTAATTTTAGTACTGCTCAAATGTTCTGTAAATATCTTTGCAGTTGAGTTCAGAATTTGAAGAAAAATTCGATGCCCGAGGACTTCATTTAATAAATAGAAAAATATAACATATGTATATGTACTTTTATATATAAGTATGTAAATTCAATGACTATCACGTATGTATGTAGCTACGGAATTGGGTGTGGCGCCCTCTTAAATTATTCATTAAATTAAACTAAGTGATCTGCACATTCCATTTATTACTTGATGCCCTTTCCTATTTCATAGGTTCAATAATGCAAAAACATAATCAAATAAAGAGAATAATCGTTAACTCACATAATTAACTAAAAATTTATCAACGCCCTTTGAAATTGTACTCATTCAAAGATTTTAGGTAAACAGAAGCACTATATTAAGTTATCGGAAGGTACTAGTTTTTTTATGCCGATTGTTTCGTAATTGCCAATTTATCGATAACCATATATATAAACACGGTCCACACGGTTGTTTCGTGCAACTCTGTATAAAGTAAACCATTTAAATAGTAGTTGAAATTAAATTTATGCTAAGCTTTGTTATAAAATAAAGCTAAGATAACTTTTACAAGGCTGTTTGAGTCTTTAATTTTTATTCTTCAATGCTCATTATTTTCAAGAATTGACACATATAATAACAGGGTTGCATCGGGATAAACTCTGTTTGAACGGCACTGTCGTTTGCTGTTTGTTTGTTTACATTTTATGGGGAAAATTAGTGAACAAGTTAATATTTGCATAAAAATGAGTTTTTTTTGCATAAATCTGTGGAAATTATTAAAAAGTGGATATTTGCATTAAAATTCAATAAACGTGAGCGTTTTAACTATAAATTATGACGAAATTGTAAAAAGTCTCTGTGTGCATGCACAAAACACATTTCAGGAAAAGAGAAGAACAGATATTACTGAAAAATTATGTCTAGAATTGTTGCAGCACAGTCTATATTTAAAAAATCGCAGGTTTTTGTACATATTTCGCGAAAATATCAACCAGAATTTTTAGACGCCAAATGAATTGAAATATCACGACCGAGTGTGTGAAACTGTAGTCGTCATGTAATCGTTGCATCATGATTGTGACGTTGAAGCAATTTGATTGGACGACCAATGTGCAGAAATCCTTAGTCTCCATCACCGAATTCTTGTACGGGACCATACAAGGCGAATTTATACAAGGTGGTGTTGTAAAATCAGCTTATTTCAAGGCGAATTTATACAAGGTGGTGTTGTAAAATCAGCTGATTTCTTCGCCTTACATATATTTTGTTTTTGCTTTTACTGATTTGACAGCACACCCATCAAAAGCAAAAACAAAATACATGTAAACTTTGGAGCGAATTGAGATTTGACACAACACCCTCCATACAAACTACGTGTGGTTGTCGT